CAAAAATTTCTCTACAACAATTTTTGGATAGTATCAATAGCTTAGAAAATAATCTTTTCTCAAAAACTTTTTACTGTATATTCTCCAAATCTGAGTATTAGTATATGGTTTGCTTCACACCATAGACCTGGGGAAGTAGAATTCCAGAAAAGTCAAAAAAATGGGGATCAGGTGTCAAAACAAAAGGAAATATCTTGCGAGAAGTGCATTTTATCAGTAGGCCTTTCTGATCTGGGGACATTGACCTCCCAGGTCAAATGGTCATTTGGGGAACTTGGCATGATAGACAAGAGCCAAGGCATTACCATACAACATACAATACATACAGTTGTTATACCAATCCAGAACATAGGTGCCATCTTTAGGACAGCAGCACAATTTGCCAGTTTTAATTGGTGGGTCTAGTTTCTAATTTACTTTAGTGCTTTCTGGTAGGAAACTTAAACTAAGATGTGATCATAAATTCGGTGTCGAACACTGATGCATAAACCAAAACAAGACACAAATTGTAATTAAGAAATGTATTAAATTCTATGCTTCAAGTCTGACACTAAAGTAACCTAAGACTGTTATTATTTTCCAGAACCAGAAGAGTTCTGTCAAAATCCAGACAGTTATACAGAAGTGGCTGTGTTTTTTTCAGAGGTGGCAGAAAGTCCGAGAAAATACAACTGGTAAAGAGGAAGAAAGAGAATACAGAAATTAATGAAAGAGGAACATGTCCTTTTTATAATAGCATGATCGAGCAAGATCAGCTGTATTTTGTTATTATGTCTCTACTAACTCTCTAGTGTATACTAATATACCAATGTGTATACTATATACTAATATTGTTTATACTATATACTAATATACTAATATAATAAGTACAAAAGGTTGATCATCTATCTTTTTCTTTTGAAGAGGAAGCTTTACTTTCTACCATCAAGACAAGGCAAGAGAAGGCAAGGCAGGGCAAGGAAAGACATGGCAAAGCAAGGCACGGCAAGGAAAGAGAAGAGAAGGCAAGGCAAGGCCAGACAAGGAAAGACAAGGTGAGGCAAGGCAAGCCAAGAGAAGGTAAGGCAAGGTAAGACAAAGCAAGAGAAGGCAAGGCATAGCAAGATTAAAGGAAAAACAAGTGAAATCAACTGTGGACAAGGGAAGGCAAGGCAAGGTAAGGGGAAAACAAGTAAAGGCAATAATAGGCAAGGCAATAGAAGGGAAGGCAAGTCAAGCCAAGGCAAAGGAAAAAGAAGTGAAGGCAATTGTAGGCAAGGCAAGGCAACGCAAGGCAATTGTAGACAAGGTAAGGCAAAACAAGCAAGGGAAGAAAAGGCAAGGTAAGGCAAGGCAGGAAAAGTTAAGGTAAGGCAAGAAAAGTTAAGGCAAGAGAAGGCAAGACAAGGAAGGGAAGAGAAAGTAAGGCAAGGAAAAGGCTGATCGTGAGACTTCTGCCAGCTGCTTGTAGAATGCCTCAGCTGTCTCTTCATCCTGTCTGGGTGGTCTATAGCAGATTCCCACCAGGCTATCAGCCTTGCTGGCCCTGATCCTGATCTATAAGCACTGGACTTTTCCATCACCCACTGGTGACCCATGCATTCAAATCACTCCCTCACATACAGCGCTACCCCACCTCCTTTCCTTCCTTGCCTGCCCCTTCTGAAAAGCCTGTAGCCATCCATTGCAGCACTCTAGTCATGACAGTGGTCTCACCATGTTTCAGTGATGGCAACTATGTCATAGTTTTCCTGACACGCTGTAGTCTCTAGCCCCTCCTGTTTGTTGCCCATGCTGTGTGGATTGGTGTAGATGCACTTCAGCTGGGCTACTGGGCACTCCCCTACTGCTCCTAGGCATGCTGCTCCTAGGCTCAACCCTAGTAATCCCAGTTTTATCTGCCCGGATCCCTCTCATTCCTAGTTTAAATACCCCTCAATGAGGCTCACCAAATCCTAGGCATGGATTCTTTTCCCCCTGAAAGACAGGTGAATTCCATATGTTGCCAGGAGGCCCAGTGCCATAAAGACTGCCCCATGGTCTAAAAAAACAAAATTCAAGCACTGTCACCAACCTCTCAGCCATCTGATGAGTAGGTGGTGTTTCCTGTTCCTCTCAGAGTCCTTCCCTGACACTGACGGATACAGAACACCACCTGCACTCCATCTCCCTCAACTGATCTCCCCAGTGCTCTGAAGTCCCTTTTGATGGACTTCAGGTTTCTTTTGGCAAATTCATCGCCTCCAACCAGGAAGAGCAATAGAGGGTAATAGTCAGAGGACTGTACAAGACTTGGGAGGCTTTTCATGATGTCCCTTACGTGGGCCCCAGGGAGACAGCAGACCTCCCTGTGGGAGGGGTCTGGCTGGCATACTGGGCCCTCTGTTCCCCTCAGAAGGGAGTCTCCCACAACAATTACCCTTCTTTTCTTCTTAATAGAGGCAGTCTTAAGATGTGAGCTTGACTGCCTCACCCTAGACAACTCCCTAGATGGACCTTGGTCTATATCCTCATTTGACTGTCCCTCCAGTTCCAGGGCCTCATACCTATTGTGTATGGTCACCTGGGTAGGTGAGGTGAGCTGGGAGGGAATTCTCCTGCCACCCTGAGCAGAGACCTGTTTCCATTTATCCTTGTTTCTTAATTCTGCCCCCTCTACCCTATGGCAAGAGGGTAGGGGATCCTCAGATGGTTTAGGTGTGTTCCCCCAGTGCACTTCTTGAGATGACTGCAGGGCGTGACTCCACCAACCTATCTCTCACATTCTCTGATGGTCCTTAGCCTTTCTACCTCCTCCTTTAGCAATGCCACCAGGCAGCAGTTCATCCATTTGTTCACACCTGATGCAGCTGTTGTCTCTGCTACCCCATTGTAACACGGAGAAGCTCAGATACTCTGGGCAGCCAGAGACCTGGACTGCTGCATGTACATGTGGCAGCTCAGGCTGTGTCTCCACTCTTCCTGGGGCTGGCTTTCTGCTGAGTAGACACCACAGTTTCGGCTGGTCCATCACTGAGATAATGACCATGGGGAGAGCAGACCTGCCTCCTCTCTGCCTGTCTGCACATCTTGCCCACCCTGACTGACACACTGTGCCGCTCTCCTGGTTGCTCACACTCCCTAGGGCTGCTCTTGTATATGCAGGGGTTGGGCTGCCACGTTGCCTCAGAGCCGCCTCTGGTGCAGGGCTCTGTGCTGCCCACTCAGGGCTGGGGGCTGGGGCAGCCTCTTGCTCCTTGAGCTTTCCTGCTTTGGGGTTGTGGGCGCAGTTATGCTCCTCGAGGCAAGGTTTCCTGGCCAGGCTCCACTTCCCTTCGAGGCATGTCGAAGGCAGGGGAAGGCAAGGCAAGGCAAGCCAATGCAAGAAAAACGAAAGGAAGGCGAGAGAAGGCCAGGCAAGGCAAGAGAACACAAGAGAAGGCATGGAAAGTGAAGGAAAGGTGAGGGACTACAATGCAAGGGAAGGCATGGCAAGGCAAGGCAAGACAAATGAGGGTAAGGCTGGGCATGGCAAGGTGAAGCCACACTTGCTGGCTTACAGGGTTCAGAGATATTAAAATAATAAAGTGGCTTTTATCTCTCTTATTATAGTGTCTTTTCATTCTCGTGATACAACTTTTTAAATGTGCACATGGGAAGAGGAGCAGCTACCAGGAAAATTCCTCTTTTGCTTTACTTCTCCCTGACCATGTCATGCCTGGGGAAGTGTTTTGTTAAGGAGTGTCAATTGCTACTTTATGACTTTTTAGAAATATAGTTCAGCATTGGAGTAAGGCACTAGAATGAGCCTTGTGGAGGTGTGGAGATTGGGGGAGATAAGTTATGTCTGAACTGTAGTCTCTGCCCTTGAGCACTTTCAATAGCAGAGTATCTTCAGTCTTGCCTGGTCTTTCTTCAATCCAGGCTGAGTGACCATGTGAGTCCTGCTAAATTCCTGGTTTCATCATCCTTTTAGCTCAGCTTTTCTCCTCAACCTCCTCACTTTGAATCTTCCTTTCTTTCTTAATTTCTTGTCTCAGCACTCTATTTCTTCATTCTCTTTTCTGCCCAAGGGTTTCTTTTCACCTCATCCTACCTGACAATCTCCAGAAAAGAAATGTCTGGTCCCCAAAGGACTTCTTTTCCTATGCATTGTTCATCTGTTTTCAATTAGGACCTTCTCCTTCTAAAATATCTTGCTTTATAAGACATAAACTGACTAGTTGTCTAGCTTTTTCACTTGCTGTGAGTACAACTCTTCATTACACGTGACAACAGAGACCATTTATTTTGAATCCTCAGAATTCAGGACCAAACTGCATAAACAGACCTGTCAATCTTTCTTCACTAATCAAACACTCTAATCCTCTCCACCTGCTACTTGCCTTATAGATCCTATTTGATTATTTCACCAGCTTCCGAAGTATGGGGATTTTCCCTGAACAGTTCTCTTCCTACATCCTGATAAGTAGTTCACAGACAAAAACTGCACAGAGAAAGAGAACCATGGCCTGAAATAAAGTAAATGGTATTTGTAGTATTTATTTCAGTGAATGTTTGCAAAATAATGCTGTTTTTCATGTCTTTCACAATAGTGTTCTGCGATGTACCCCTCTGTTTTCAGTACTCCTGCAATGGTGTATTTGTTCAGACCCTTGAAAAGTTATTTTCCATACCTTAACTCAAAATAACAAGTATTTCTAAAGCATCTTATTTTAAGGAAGCAGAAAACCTAGTGTTTGCTATGTATTCATAGTCAGATCAGGTGGGTATAAATGAAATAACTTTAGGTTTCAGTCAGGAATCAAGATTCCCTGATCTTCACATTCAAGTGCATGTTCGTTCTTCACAGTATCACTTTAATTTCTAAAAATACTTTTAAAATGTTACTGCGATGCAGTAATCAGCTCAGAGACAGCTTCCTTTGTGGTTTCACTAGAAACATAGAAATATCAGCCATTTTCATTGTTTCCACACTGGTATTGCTGCAGTGTTACTACCAAAACAGAGCTGTCTCATGAAACAAGTGTAACGAAGCACAGATGGAGGATGAAGAAGGCTACACTGCTTTAAATTTGCAAACTTCAACTTCAGTTATTACTCATAGATATTCAAGTAACAACAAATGTTCTGCAATTAATGCTCCAGGCAGTTTTGTTACAGTAGACAGTAAGTACTTCCTAAATTCTTTATCTAAACTGGAATATAACTTGGCACATAACTTAGAACTGGCACATAACATGCTCATGTTAGTTGATCTAGAATTCTTCTAATCTTTATAATATATTCTTATATAAATAGTCTTGGAAACAGTGGTGGGAGTGATCATAATGGAATCTTGCATTATAGGTTATCATCACAGATTTTTCTGAAGGCTTTGAGATTTCACTTATTTCTCCATTTACTTCAACATCATTGAAAATAAATACTGCCTTTGATAGAGGTTTTATTATTTTTATCAGACTCCTTTGTAACAGCAGGGAAATTGAGGGAAAAATGCTATCATTTTATTTGAAAATGTTTGCCTTGAAATTGAAGCTCTTTGTTCAACCATGGTGAATAAATAGAACCATGGCACTGGTTATGACAGTATATTTTTATGTGTTTATGCTTAGAGCTTTTCTTTAGATGGCCTGTTAACTAATGTGTTGAATTGTGCCTGTGGAATGCTGAGTTTATAAAATAATGACTTTAATACTGTTGCTGCTGCTCCAAAATTTAGCAGGTTGCTTTTGTGTGAAATAAATATCTTTTATTGCTATTCACAGTGTGGGTCACAGTGTGTTTGTGTGGGACAAACACACTACTCCGGTGCTGTTTGAAAAAGATACAGGTCTATGCACCAAGAATGATGATTCAAAAGGAGGATGGGGCAGCTGTAGAGAAACAGCAGCTAGAAAACCAAGGATGAAATATTAGATTATGGGACCCCAACAATAGAGTCTGCCAGATGGAAAAAGGGTGGCACTATGGGAAAATTCCTTAATAGTCTCTTGATATACACACATATTATGTAAAGTAGATAGGCTCAATAACTTAAAAAAATAGGTTGAAATGGACCTCTAGAGTTAATCTATTACAACTTGTTTTTTTTTCCTTCTCACACGGGATAGCTCCAAAGTCTCATCAAGTCAGTCAGGCATTTATCTACTTGAGTTTTAGAAATCTCCAGGAATGGAGAACTCACAGCCCCTCTGGACACTCACTCCAGTGCTGAACCACTCTTAATGGAAACATTTATTTCCTGCTCACCTATTGCATACCTAATTAGAAGTTTCCTGGATCTAATTTGTAACTGACATGTTCTGTCCTTTTGCTGTGTCTCTCTGAGAAGAATCTTGCTCCATCGTCTCTATAATTTACTTCTAGGGAGTGGAAAACTGAAAATAGATCATCCTTATCTTTCCCTGGCTAAATAAACCCAGGTCTTTCAGCCTCTCTCTCTAAGTCCCAACCACCTGAGTGACCCTCTCCTGACTCTCTCGAGGTAACTTATATCTCTCTTCAACCAAGAGGCCCAGCATTGGACACAGTACTCTAGATTTCTTCTTTAGTCAAGTAGACTGGAATAATTGTTCCCCTTGATCTGCTGACTATGCTCTTGCTAGCGCAGCCCAGTGTTGCTTAGACTTTACGGCACACGGGTGATTCATGTTAAACTTCTCTACCAACACCCTGAAGATCTAGTTAGTCAACCCAAAACCTGTTTTATTATATGGGATTCTACTGCTTCAGGTGCAGGACATTTTTCTTGAACTCTGTTGCACTTACAGTTCATTTCTAAGATATGTAGGTCCCTTTACATGGCAGTCTTACCCTCCATCAGATCATTACCCTCCACTTTGTGGTCATTTGTAGTCTCTTGAAATTCCCCAAAGTGACAAAGTCTATGGGCATCATCCACAACTCTGAGTATGTACGTTTTAGTTGCCCACTCTGGACATATGGGTCACCTCTGCAGGCTGATTCTCACACCTTACAAAAGGTTGGACCTCTGGAGGAACTTGCTGTGAGGCACATGACTCAGGTAATAGTATTTGATGTCCATAATAATATTTAGTTAACATGAATAATGGAGAGTAGGTATAAAGGATTATTACAGAAATACTTTTACAGAAATTACAGCAGAGCACTGCTCTGCAAAAGAAACAAAAAAGGTAGGAAAATATTTTAATTGGGGGATAGTCAGTTAGAAAATTTTGATGAACTATATTCTGGATAATACATTGGACCACGATGGAAATTTAAAGAAGGAACCTAAAGAAAGATTTAGAGTTTAACATTCAAACATTGTAAGCATTTATAAATGCCAATCACAGAGTCAGGAATTAATTTTGTATACGATGAAGAGTGTTTTGACACTAGATAGCAATTTTTCCACTTTAAAATTGAAAAATCTCTTATTTATTTTGTTATTTCCAGGGCTGTAGGAACTTCAAAATCTAATCTGGTTGCTTGTCTTATGAAAAGGGTATGTTTCTAAAACACCAGAGCCACAGCTGATAAATATTCTCAGTGGATAAATAGACAATTCTGAAGGAAAAGGAAAGTCCATTAAATTCAGAACAATGATAACAAAAGCTTCTTACTGAAGAAAAATGAGGCTCTGCAGAATGTGCTGAAGGTGGATTGCTGATATCAAAGAGGAGGGAATATCACTTAATCATGAGGAATGGTGCTCCTCATTGATGATTTTTTTGTTGTTGTTGTTTGTTTTCTTTTTTGCTTTGTCCTAGGAGTCTCTTCCTCGGTTTCCATTTGGCGACCAGTGGCTTTCATTTCCTTCACTTTGTGCCTGCTGTTGCTAATGGGGCTGGTAATTCTGCTGGCCCTGTGTAAGTACTGTGACCTCCTGACTTAATTTGAAATCAGTGAGTTACAGCAGTATGGCTACTTTATCTTCCTCACTGCAGACTGACCCTGCAAATATCTATGGAAGTAATACAGGAAGACTGCAAACAATGAAGTCCTCCTACAAGCAAGTCCTTTCATTGTGTGCCAGATCAAGTCAGATCACTTAGATCAGTATTTACAGCCTCTAGTCCATTCCACATTGACCATGGGATAAACTACTAATTTTAACAATATTCACATACTATCAACTTAAGCTGCACTTAGAGGAGTAAAAAGTCCTACTATGTTTCTCAAACACTTAGCTTTCATTGTCAGAAGTGTATGAGTTCCAACTCGTCTACCTGACCAACAGTGCCTCCCTGTGACTGATACTGGCACATTTTATTAGCAACTTTAGATGTCTTTCTTGGATTGCAACCTTTTCTGCAGTGAGAAAAATCTTGGCATCAAACTGTAGTAATTTGTGCATTGTCCATCTATTACAGTATGCTTTCCTTAGAAACATTTCAGTTTAACAAGATGGCTGCACACTGTATCTGACAGCAGAGATAATGAGTGAAGGAGTGGGGAAGTAATGGCAAGTGACCAGAAAGAACACCAGGTGGCAATCCATAGCATGTGGGAAATGTTGGCTCAAAGCCAGCTCTGCAGGCTTCTCATTCAACCCCATGCAAAATGGGACTGCCACTGACCCTATATAACCCTAAACAAAGCCTTGCCTCCCTGAGTTTCAACATCTCCAAGGATGCAGGTGCCCTAGGTATCATGCACTATTATTGTGCTGAGGAACCTTTCCAAGAGTCCAAATTGCATATCCCAAGCAACGACACCCATTGTTATATCTTCTGCTGCTACTTCAGAGGCATTTGGCTCCCTCATCTTTGTGATTGTTCTTCAAGTAGTTGTAGGCAGCTGTTAAATCTAGTTGCAATTAATTGATGTTTGAATTCCTTCCTTCCTTCCTTCCTTCCTTCCTTCCTTCCTTCCTTCCTTCCTTCCTTCCTTCCTTCCTTCCTTCCTTCCTTCCTTCCTTCCTTCCTTCCTTCCTCCCTTCCTTCCTTCCTCCCTTCCTTTTCTTCTTTTGTTTGCTTCTTTCCTTTCTTTCTATTGTAAGAAGTCTCCGCAATAACAAATCATGCCTGGTCAAAAATCAAATGTCCCTTTGAGAGTCAGTTTTGATAAGTGATTTTGATCACCTCCAAATACAAAGACCCAATTATGCCACAAGAAGGTAAATGTGCATGGTTTGGACATCTCATATGGCTGGAATAAATGCAATGCGGATGGCTAGTCAACCGGTGTTTGCTTTTCCACCACTTCCAGAATTACGACAGGCAATGATAGGATTAACCCTTGTTAATTAGCCCCTGCCAAAATCATCTATCTTCTTCATGATGTTCCTATTAGAAAACCAAACGCAAGTCAGTACACACAATGTTGGATAGGTAAATGAGGCAGACAAAAATTTAAAGAACCCCAAAAGCTACATTTTAAATTTATTAAAAAGAAAAAGAAGTTTGATGAGCATTTTTGTTCTAAAGCATTTGTTTCAGTTTTTCAGGTTTCCAAGGATTCTGAGGAAGGAAAGAAACTGCAAGAAATGAGGGACATGTTGTGTTTTGAAAGGAAGGAAAACAATAAGACTAATGGTAAATATCATTTATCTAAATAAACTCACATCATTCCACCTTCAGAGTCCATTGGCCAAGTCAATGTAAAGCCATGGGGAAAATGTTTGATCAGCTATTCCCTATTTTGAACTGTGGTAGTATTCAAAATATGGATATGTGGATACTAACACTCACGCTGTGATTCAGTGACTTGTATGTCACAGGACTATGAAGATCTCAGCTAATTTATGCCTACTCTTCATCTTCTTTTCTCAGTCAAACCAGTAGCTAAAGCCCCCATGTTCCTTGCTGATCTGCATTATAATGTCTCTCTGATTTCTAGAAGCAAAGTGCACTCTCTGTCCAGCAAGCTGGCAAAACAGTGGAGCTGACAGCTGTTTCTACATTTCAAAACAGAAGAAAACATGGAAGCAAAGCCAGGAGTTCTGTTCCTTGAGAAATTCTACTCTGGTGGTGCTAAAAGACAGAACAAAGATGGTACTGTCTTAACAGCTTATTTTGAAACAATAAATTGCAAGTATTAGCATGAAGGAGAGATTCAGCATCTCAAATGCATATTTTTCTTACCTATGTCCCCAAGTTTTCTCACTGAGAATTCCAAAGCTAGCATCTAGGTTTCTAGCATTTATATTAGATCACTAGATCTAGAGAGCACCACATTCACCATTGATGCTGGCTGCAATGCAAAGTGACTAAAAAAGGTAGAGTTATATTATGATGGCTTATAAATGTTTTTGGAACTAATAATTTTAAAGTATCATACTAATTTTATTTGATGATGAATAATAATCTATGATTTGCTGACAAGGACATGTTTTCCCTTTTTTGTGCAGACATACATGGGAACCTCATTTTTATCAGCTATTAAGCTTTTACACCAAAACCAAACATCCTTACCTGCCTTTTGCTACACAAAAACTTTAAAAGGAAGTACATTTTCCAATCTGTGTAAGAACTTATTTTCACATGTTGGATATATGTAACTTCAGCTACACTGAGATCAGACCAGTTTAAGTACCCTGTACAATTCAGATCTTGTGTGGATCCATGAATATTCTACTAAGCAGTAACAAATCATCTAGAGGATATGAATAGTTGCTGCAGCGATTCAGTTCAGGATTCAGTAACAATTCCTATTGGTGAGGTGAATCAAACTCCAGGCTATATTGGCTTTGTTGGCCAGATCTCCACTCATTTGAAGTGGAACTTAAGGACTGCTTCCATGTATGTTCCAAACTGTAGACACCTATAGGCAGACCAGCTAAAGCTCAGAGCAGTTCTTATTGGCCACATGCATTTGAGGCTCCTCTCTACATTACCTCCATTAGTTGTTCCACAATCACAACTGTGAGATAAAGAAACTTGCATTTTATTTTTAAATATTGTGTTGATTTTCTCATAGCTACAGGTGTCTCTGCCACAGGATCTGCAGTTTTACTGGGTTGGATTATCATATATCTCTGAAAGGAATGGCTGGTACTGGGAGGATGGGACAGCTCTTGTGAGAGAAGTCACAACTTGGTAAGCCTTGGTTACTTAGGACAAGTATGGTTCTAGTCAATAGGCCCCAGTAAAAGTTTTTAAACTTATGATTCTGCTTACTTTTCCATGTTTTCTACCTGTGCTATGACTAAGGAACACAGAGGTCATAGTACCTTTGATAGATATGCTTATATCTGTCCTGTATAACATATATGTATGTTCCTCTATAAGGAAAAACAGCAAAATATAGCTGGATCACAGGCACATAAGGGACTACCTAGCACAAATAAAATAATCCAAGGGGTAAATAACTCTACATTCCAGTGGTAAATCATTTTGATTACAAAGAACCCAAATATAGGATACCTGACATCACTGGGATATCATTAAGTTGTATTTTTAAATTTTTCAGGATTGTGTTATATGAACACAACTTCTGTGCTTCCTTATATGGACAGATAATTTACACCAGTAATTCCTGTTCAACAAAGCAATTCTGGATCTGTGAGAAAGGGACTGTTCATTTCACCTGAAGAAGTATTTCAAGAAAGGACACAGCCTCTGTCAGTGTGAGATAAGATCATTAGCAAATAAAAGTTTTGAATACGTGTTTAGTTTTATTTGCTTATTTTGCATCTTTCTCAAAATGTTTATTGAAATGGATGTGCCATTAAAGACTAAAACTTCCACTTTGCCTCCGTCTTCACTCTTAGCTTCACAATAAAAAATGCAAGCCTAGGAAACTGCTTGGAAGAATTAGCTATAGTGAAGCAATGATTCTTGAGTGATCCTCTGAGAAAACAACTACATAGTTTCACAGATCTCTATGAAAATAAGTCTTTCTTCTTTTCTCAGTGCCTTACATTAACACCTGCCACAGTCAGAAACCATTCCCATTTCATCCTTTATGATTTTACTCACCTGAATAATCACTAAATACACACACTAAGTACAGTCCATCTCCTTTAGACCAGTTTGCCTAGTCAGGTCCTCTTTCTTAAATAATTCTGCCAGCTTAAATAATTCTGCCAAGGAACCTGTATGAAAAGTAAAGTTAAATGTCATGGCTGCATTAAAATATTACCAGATTAACTCCAGTACTATCACAACTTTCATTGCTACACAAAGCAAAGTGAGGATAGCAATAATGTGCTCCACACAGATCTTCACTCTGCAATTACTTAAAATAGTACAGATTCTATTGTCAGGAATCTTACTTATGTTCCTGGGTTTCATTTACACTGCCTGGGATCTCTGGAATCCAAGATACATAAGGTGCTGCATGCGCATATAATGTAGATACGGTAAAAAAACTTTACACTTCCTGGAGCAAAATAATACCTCCAGATTTCTGGGTGGAGTTTAGCTGCATGAATTCTTTTTAATTTTGTATCTGGCAACGGACATCTTTGTTGTATTGTGTATGTGTACAGTCCTTGTATGGATATGTTCTTTGTATATACGTGTATAAGCCTTGATGTTTGAAAACACGTTTTTCCTTAAACCAAGTTAAAAACAATACTCTGTTTGTCTGTGATATTATTTCCTTTGAAAAGATTCTCAGAATGACGCCATTCCTTAGTAAACAAAAACCCTTTAATGTACTGGAAGATATTGGTTAACAGATCCACTGATGAACAAATGCTCCATAGAATCAACCTCTTTTTTACGAGCATGATTGACCAGCAGAACCAACTAGAAGTTTTCATTGTTGCAGTGGAATGGGTATATGTGAATGTAAACTGCAGTGTTTCATCTGTTCAGATCTTTCAATCCACCAAGCTTGAAAAATATTATTTACAACTGGCAATTGAGCAGCTGCCTTTAATCCCTTTTTCTTTCCATAAACCATTTATGAAGATTTTTTCTTTTTTTTTTTTTTCAATAATCTGCTACATGCACATCTTTGATGGTTTCTTTCTGCAAATGGATGCTAGCTTCTGGGTTCCCTGCCAACTTTTAAGTTTTAAGGCTTTTTAAGTGAGCATTCCCAACAAATGCAGTAAGGTCAGTTCAGTGATGGTAAGTTGAGTACACTTTTTATTCTGTTTCTTTGCCTGAATGCTGTGTCCTTTATAAACTATTTCCATACCTTCACATAGTAAAGTTCATTTAGCCCCAACCCAAATCCTAGCCCTATGAGCTTGGAAAGGGTCTTTTCCCTCCTTAAAAGTGAAGTGATACAGAGTGAAGAATTTACAGAACTTGTATTTTAAGTCCAAATAGATCCATTATATCAGTCAGATTGGCTTCTATGTCAGGCCAATCTTATGTTGATTTACCAGCCTGGTGTCATGGTCATATCAGGTTAGATGGACTATGTCAGACAATACACCAACACAGAGGGAAATACTAAACCTGACAAAGCAAGCAAGCAAACAAACAAACAAACACTATATAATCTGAGCATCAGTCAACTGATAAGAAATTGACCTTGCGAGTGCAGTGGTGATACACGCAATAATGAGGGCAAACATTGCAATTTCTCTGTATGAGAAGACTAGTAGCTGTAAAACAGCTCCCCAGCACAAATGTGGCATGGATCAACAGGAGCAAAGCAATAGAGTGGAATAGTGACAAAGATAATTAGTTCACACTATGCCTATTTCAGGAAGATTATTATATATTAAATTTGAACTTAGCTGGCAAAGGGCAAAATCAGATTTCCACTGAGTAGAGATGAGTGAGTTTGGTACCCAAAATGACCTCATTGCAATGATTTCTTTCCAAGTTTGTAGACCTGCTCCTGCTATGAATGCAGGGACATACTAAGTGAACAGTGGCAAGTTGCAACAAGAAGCAACTAACAGAAACTGTAATAAGTGAAATTCCAATTAGATAGAAGGTGAAAAGTCTTTGCAATGAGGGTGGCCAAATACAGGAACAGGAATCCAAAGCACCTGGGTGATCTCCAACCTTGGAAACTGCACAAACTTGGCTGGACAAATCCCTAAGCAACTTGATCAGAGTTCAAAGCTGGCCCAGCTTTGAAAAGGGCCTTGACCTAGGGAATTTCCAGAGGTTTCTTCCAAATGAAGTTACTTAAGCCATTATATCTGTATTGTGCATCTTTTCTTGGCAGTGTTCAAACTCCTTTGCACAGGTCTGTGTTCTGGCTAATGTATCTCAAGTTTTCAGTTGGAGAATCTCACTAGAGATCTACTCTACAGATCCCCATCACTCTAATCCTATCTCATCTATCATATGGTATCTTCTCTTAACAGTGTCTTGCAACTTTCAACATCTTGTTCCTCGAACTAGGTCTTTCAACTCTGTTCCTGTCTTCGCTTGGTCTGCTCTTGCATTTGTTATGCATTGAATTAAATAAAATTTTACTGATCTGAGACATTTTAGTAGATGAAATGCAAGATCATCAACCTTTCAGAAACTTCTTTCTTGGCATCATGACTTCAATACATCCTATAGCATTTTCCTGTTGTAGGGAAGTCCCAGGGAAAAAAAAAAAAGGTCAGAGTTCATAGAACTATGCAAAAAGCCTAGCACAGAGTTAGCCACAGTTTTACAGAGTGGAACGTCCTCTTACAAGCTGGATGGTGCAGCAAAGTTGAAACACAAAGAAAGTGATATCCAGTCCATCCTTCTCTTTGTATTTTTATTTCTCTTTCCAAACTAAGAAAGGGGGGCAGCTGATGCTATTTCCAGTGGTACGCTATTGTTCCCTTGGACATTTTCCCTAAGAATTGTCCTGAGTCCCCACTTTGTACTTGTAAATCACAGAGTCACAGAAAGATTTAGTTTGGAAGGGAAGTTCAGCTGTTCCAACCTCTTGTTCAGAAGGGTTGATTCCATAGTTAGATCAGATTGCCCAGATCTCCATCAGGCAGATTAGAAAATATCAAAGGATGGAGACAACACATCCTCTCTGCACATCTGTTCTAATATCTGATCACCCTCATTGTGACTTTTTTTTTTCCTTATTCCAGATCAGAATTTCCCTACCTATAATTTATGCCCATTACTTCTTTCCCTTTCACTGTATACCTCTGAGGACAGTTAGGCTCCATCACCTCTGTTGACCTGTTTTAGACAATGGGAGGCTGAATTTAGATTCTCCTTACCCCTCTCAAGGATAAACAAATCTAGTTGTTACAGTTTGCCCAAGCACGTCTTCACTCCATATCCTGTTTATCTGTATCTTTCTCTTCTGGACTGGTTTTAGTATTCCAGTGTCTTAGGGGATGGTTTTTGTACCACAGCGCTCAAAACCGAATATAGTAGTCCAGTTGCATGCTCGCAGATGATGAACAAAGGATAATTACCACCTCCCTTGCACTACTGGATTCACTACTAATTCGATCCTGTATGCGGTTGGTCATTTTTGCTACAAGGGCACACTGCTTCTATTTGTTGAATCAGTTATCTTTTACTTCAAACTCAGATTTTTGACTTGGTAGATGAGAATTTTGCTCTGAATTGAATCCCTAATTTTTTAGCCCTTCGCACTGAATAATGAAAAAGTCACAGAAATAAAGTTAATCTTCCTTTACCTCATATGTAAGCTCAGGAAGTGTGGGTTAGATGGGTGGACAGTGAGGTGGATTGAGAACTGGCAGAGCTCAGAGTCTTATGGTCAGTGGTGCAAAGTCTAGTTGGAGGCCTGTAGTTAACAGTGTCCCCCACGGGTCAGTACAGGGTCCAGTCCTGTTCAATTTATTCATCAATGACATGGATGAAGGGACAGAATGCACCCTCAGCAAGTTTGCTGATGATACAAAACTGGGAGGAGTACAGGGTCTTGCACCTAGGAGGAATAACCCCTAAGCACAGAAAGAAGCCAGGGGGTATTGTCAAGAGGGGAGCAGCTCTGCAGAGAAGAACCTGAGAGTACTGGTGGGCTACAGACTGACCATGGGCCAGCAACATGCGCTTGTGGCCACTGGTATCCTATGGTGCATTAGGAAGAGTGTTGTCAGCAGGTCGAGAGAGGTGATCATTCTCCTCTGCTCAGCCCTGGTGAGGCTACAGTACATCTGATGTACTGGTGTACTGTGTCCAGTTCTGTACTCTCCAGTACAAGAGGGACATGGAACTACTGGAGGAAGTCCAGTGCAGAGCTACAAGGATGCTTAGGGGCCTGGAGCATCTCTCACGTGAGGAGAGGCTTAGAGAGCTGGGCATGTTTAGTCTGGAGAAGAGAGAGTGGGAATCTTACCAGTGTGAAGAAATATCTTAAGGAAGGGTGTCAGGAGGAAAGGGACAGACTCTTTTCAGTGGCGGCCAGTGACAGGACAAGAGGCAATAGGAAAAAACTGAAACACGGGAAGTTCCATCTGAATATGAGAAAAACGAAACAAAACACCTTCTTGAGATGAAACAAAGATGTTTGCCTGTTTTAAAATATGAAACATTCAGTGGAAATGAAAGTCCAAGGAGGTGTGAATGGAATAGAGCATGCCTTCTTGACAACACATTTCTGAGAATTCATGTCACCTTACTTCTGTCTAGACTGGGGCATAAAGACCCAAAATGAGATGAGTGGGAAGTAGGGGGTCCTTCCCCTAAGGGAGGAGAA